TATGTAGATGCCTTACTGTGCAGTGACACTGTGTATATGAACTGATTTGGGACTAACTTTAGGCACGTGTAGATGCTGGCCTAGTCCCTCTTACTGTGCAGTAATTTACTGTGCAGTAAATTTAAATTGGTGTAAATGCATGTGTAGACATGCCCACTGAGTGCCCTAACCACCAGCCTCTCGCATCTAAGTCTCTCTAACCTAATGAAATCTTCTATTATTTATACGAAGTGGTACCACTGCAACAGGAGACCCTAATTTTAAAACATTAATGTTGCAAACCATACTCTGGGGCTTCAACTGGAACTTTTTCTAGCTATAGGACAGCTTCAGAACTTAGGTGGGCCTTTGTATATGTTCAATAGCCCTTTTGAGGATGTTAGTGTATTTAGGTACCTAAGTATCTTTAAGATTCCAGGCCTACATGGCTTGCCTGTGATCAGAAAGTAAGTCTGTGCTGGAGACAGGAGATCGACACAGGTCCCCAGAGTCCATAGCTAGCACTGGACTGAGTGATGCTTCCATTCTCTTTCAGTGATATTCATTCTTGATATTGTAACACTCCTATGCAGATCAACAAGGTGAGGGCTGAAGCACTTTTTATTCCTACACCCCTGAGCACAAGAATGCTATCAAAACACATGACAATTCATGTGCTTTCCTATCTTCACAACCAGGGAAGATTTCTGGTACTTCCTGGATTCCTACTGCTGTAAAGAGATGTGGTGAACTTGTTGTGAAGCAAATAATAAAATAAATAAATAATTCTTCACTTTCACAAACAATCCCCCCCAGGAAAGACATCTGTCCCCAAAACAGAGTTTAGTAACACAAGTACTGACACACACACATGAGCTGCAGCAGCTTTATTGGCCTTGTTAAATGTTGTACTTTGAGCCACACAAATTTTGAGCAGCTTTGTACTGTCTTGGAGTTTGGAGCAGTCACACCCTTAGGGCCTTATTACACATTAATTTTGGCCAGTTCCTAGAACTTTTAACCACTGAATTGTCTGCATGTCTGCTTAAAGCATTCATTATGAGGCTCAAATTTACACCAGTCCAGGGCAGGATCCTCTCTTCATCTGCATAATCTAGCCCCTGTTCCATTAAGGTGTGTCCACAAGCTAGCACTGAACTAGTCAACATTTGCGTGGCCCACAGTGTAACATGTAAAAAGGCCCTATTAGTCTAGAAACCTTCTTTGACATGCCCCCTACTAGCACAGCTGTGACTTGTCACTAGAGGCCTGGTGAGCTGGAAGATCCCTTCCAGCCCTACTTCTCTATGCTTCTAAGGGCACTTGTACACATGACAATGTAACCATGTACACATCACGAAAATTTCCTTTTGTGTGGCTTAATGGCATCACACTTTACATATATGCGAGTTTTGGGGGGTTTAAATAAGTTTGCATCATCACAAACTAAATCACATCCCAATGTAATTTGTTTGCAATGCTGCAACTTGAAACATTGCAGCCATTAATCTGTCAGCCCCCCCATGCAGGAGAGGCAGGCAGACTGCTGAAAAAAAGGATTGGGCCCAGCACTGCTTCTGCCTTCAGCAGGCCACCAGGACTCCTGTCTATTTGTATCTTCCAGAGATCCTGGGCCTTAAGGCCCACCTAGTTAATTAATAGCCCCCACTGTGTGGGGCCAACGTTTGAAAGATACAGCTGATTTTTTTTTTTTTTTTGGCAGGACAACTAAGGAAGAAAAGGGTAGGAGTGACATGGGGGTCAAAGGTTCAACATGTGAAAAGAAGTTCTCTGGAGGGGGACATCAAGGAGAGCCCCCCAGGCTGCACCCACCAGTCCTCAAAGGCATCCAAGGAGCTGGTGGATGCCACCCACTGGTGCTCTGCCCAGAAACATGAACAGACAAGTGAAAGGAAAGAGGCCCCACAGTCTCTAGGCACCTTCCCAGGCACAGCCTCCTTCCTAGTCAAGTACAGGACCCACTTGGCCAGGGCCAGGAGGAGGTTGACCAGGAGGTCCCGGGACTTTGTGGGGCCATGGATGGGGTAACCAAAAACAAAAAGATGGGGGGTGGAATTCAACCAGAGGAGTTGGAGGTGAAAGGGCTGCAGCCTGGCACACTCAAGGGTTATGTGCACCAGGGTCTCCCTCTGCCCTCAGAAGGGGCAGAAGACCACCAGGAGTCCTGGGGCCATCTGGGAATGGGCTGGCTTGCAGTGGCAGGGTAGGGAAATGGAAGGAGGGCAGCTGGGTGACCTGGCAGCTGAAGAAGGCAGCGGGGATGGTACACAGGGTGCTGGAAACCCAGCTAGGCTCAGGGAAGAGTTGGATCAATCACCTTCAAGCTGGGACAGCACCCACTAGCAGCTTATCTGGCTGGCCGTGGGGGCCGCTGCCATGGAAGGAAGGACTGGGGTTCTCCACAGCTCAGGGGCCACTCAGAGCACTGGCAGCTTGCCCCCCACCCCCACCCAGTGCACCAGAAAAAAAAAGGATCAGCCCCCTCGCCACTTCTACGTTCAGCAGGCACCTGCAGAATGCAACCCTAAATCTCCATCTTGTATACAAGCACCCTGAAGGACTAAACCTCCATCATGTGTACTGAGGCTGCAACTTGCACCTTCTCTCTCCTGCTAAGCAAAGAGCTCCAGCTCTGTGGCTCTAGTTGTGCCCTGCTCCATGCACCCAATCCACATGTAGCACAGCTGGATGGATCTGGGCTGTGGTTGTGAGGCAGGACTAGGAGGTGTCAGCAGAGTGTGTCAAGGCTATCTTGCTTCTATCAGCTACCATGAATCTGACCCCCTTTTCTCTCTCTCTCTCTCCCACACACACACACACACACACACACACACACACACACACACCCCTTCAGGGATGAGAAAAGAAAGGGAGGTGAATTTTCCTCCATTTAGCAAATCCCAGTTTGGGGGGCATTGGGGGCTTTTCTGAGCCTGGCTCACTCTGTAACAAATCCACAGTGCTACCTGCTTTGGCCAGGCTGGGCACTCCTGGTGCTTGCCAACGCCACCAGCTGAGAAGGGAAACATGAGTAAAAATAGCCCCCTACCCTGTCCTTGATCAGAGCAGGTGGCACTTAGCAGAATAAGAAGGGCAAATGGACTCAGAAAAGGTGGGGAGAGTTTGGATTGGCAGTCACTGGGTGCAATGCATATGTGGCTTACATAAACTCTCATTAAAACCTCTTGGCTGAGTCACTCGAAGTTTCCAGTTAGGCAAAGGTTGGTCAGTACTGAAGGAAGGGAGGGAGAAGAAGGGGTGTGGAGCACATTGAACAAATAAGAACTTTTATGGCAGCTGGGGATTGCAGAGCCATGGGAAGTCTGGCAGGCAAAATGTGAGGTGCTGCATTCACCATTCAGCTCATGCTGAGGGACCTGCAGGGATGAATGTGGTGGTGAGGGAAGAGAAGAGAAAGGAGAGAAAGAAAGAGGGATCAGCCTTGCCACACAGCACCCATGCAACAGAGAGCTGATCGGGGGGGGGGTGTTCCCATAGAACACTGCATATCCCATATTGCATCCTGGGATAATAGAGGACTTCAACATCTGTGGGGACTGGCCACATGTTAATGGACCCTGGGTTGTATGGATCACAGGTAATCCTGCCCTAGAATGGAGTAACTTTGAGCTGCATAAAACAAGTGCTTTAAGCCATTTAAAAGGTGTTGTAGTGAGGACAATCCAGGGATTAAGAGCTCCAGGAGCTGCCTAAATGTTACATGCAACAAGGCCCTCGGAGTCCGTTTATAAGGATGAAATACAGATAATAATCCAACCTTGAGATCCAACAGCATAAGGCTGTTAGTAATATCTTGCACCTCTCAAATGCTTTCCTTGCCCAAACTTAAGGTACTTTGTAAACATTAATGAAATAAGTTTCATAGTACCCTTAAAACTAAAGTGACTGAAATCTCTGCAGAAATGCACTGGCTTTCCTGCCTGCATTGCAACACAAGCTACACATTTGAGTAGCCTAATGCCTCATCACTATGCTCAGAAATAGCCTCAATTCCTGCCTTAGCAACCAGGGTTTCTGAGTCCTAAGTGTATTCAAGGACATGCACTGGTTCCAATTGAGCTAATCAAGATTTACACCTGTTCAAGTTCACTCGCTGCACATTTACCTTGCTTTCAGTTACCCTGAGGGGTCAACACCCATACAGCTAAACCAATTGCTGGCCACAGACAAACTAGTTCAAATGGAAAACAGATTCTTAAGACTATTCAAGTCAACATGCTGCAGCATTTAGAGGAAAGTTAATACAGCATAACAAAGATTTCAATGCTCCCTTTATGCACTGAAGCTGATTTAAGAGATGGAAGCATCTTGCTTTGGTTTGTTCAGAGCTCCCTCTCTTCTAATTTTACCTGGTCATCTGCATAAATGCAGGCAACATACTATCAGCAAATAATTCTCTAGTCACTTTTCACCCAGAGTGGTATCTTAGAACTAACTTTTCTCTAGCACAAATAACCACAAATTTAGCAAGGAAATAAAAGGTTGGGCTCAGGAAAGCTGGAACTGTGCCAGGAATAGCAGTCTGGCTTGCTGACACTCACCAACAGGCAGAAGGTAGGGTAGATTTACAGCAACAGATCACTCTGCCCAAAGCACAGAGAGAGTAGAGTATGTGTATAGATGGAGCCAGTATAGACAACAGATACTATTTTCTGGGCAGGAGAGGAGGTCATAAAAATAATAAAATCTTTCTTGCTGGAGCCCTCAGTAGTTAAGAGATCCCGCTGGCCTACGTGGTAGGAAAATCCAAAAGCTGGCTGAAGATTCTACGTAATGGCAAACTCTCTTTAAGCTCTAGAATTAAGAAGGTCGGGGCTTTTAAACATTCACCAATACCAGCGTCTCAAGTTCACTCTATTAAAGAATAGCCCATGTTAATCTATTGCTAGAGAAAACTGTTCTGCAGGAGCTATAGCAGCACAATTGGGAGACACTGAAGATCCTTCAAAAGCCCAGTTTGAGGAACTTATTGTCCTCACCTGTAAACAATTTTCTCTTTCATTCTGCAGGTGGTGTTGGAGTTGCAATGCCTGCTCCTGCAGTTTCAACCTCTGGGAAAAATCTTCCTTGTATCTAAAGTATACAGGGATAAAGAGAAAACTATCATTGTTTTACATTCACAGGTTATCAGTCCAAGTCATAGTTGTTAAGAAACCAAAACTATTAGCACATCGACTGGGGATGGTGTGTCAACAGGAGACCAAGAGGAAGAGAAAAGGCCAGGCTCATCCCTCTCCCTCCTCTGTCCAGATGTTACTGAGTGCTGGCTTAGTTTTGCACAGCCTACTATTTGTAATGGTCCATTGCTGGAAAACAAAATCATTAGGTTTGTGCTTTGATCATGCTGCTGCCAGGCCCTACATGGACTGAAGCAACCCTATGCTTGGCAGGGGCTGCTAACAACTTCTCTGTCCCCCTGCTTGTCGGGACTGAATATGAAGCAGGGGAAGGGCTGGGAAGCTAAGCAGGCAAACCACATGGTCAGTCAGGCTGGAAAGAAAAGGTGCCAGTGTGGTAAAAATACATTATGACCTGGGCCTCACTTGAGTAATAGCTGTATGAGTCCCTCATGAGTCCCTCATGATCCCTTGTGTAGGAAGCACAAGGCCTAACGACTGAGTTTTGGGTTTCTTTTTCCTTCCTGCTTGCTCTGCATTTTGTAACCATACTTGCCTAATGCCCTGAAGTTACACTAAGGTATAAGGTTACTAAAAGACGAGATATTAACCAATAGCAAACTAAGCCTAGCCCATAAGATAAGACGTAACAACAAGGAAATTGTGGTACTGCCAATAGTTGTATGACACGTTGTAGCCCTTTTTTATGTAAGCTATAAAAGTGTAACCCCGAGAGAAATTCGGGGTTGACACTGCTTTGAGCATCAGCTCCTCTGTCGACATTGCTTGCGCAATCAATAAACTCATGACGGACTCACCCTGTGTGTGACTCTCTCCTTGAGGTGAAATTGGTCTAGCCTCCAGTAGCACGAAACTAGCCATTTGGCCAACACCAGTCAGCCTGTGACTTTAAAAGGAATAACAGGGGGCCCTGGAGTGTGTCTTACTGAAGGGTATTTCGGCATTTCTGGGTTGTTGGTCTTTGAACAATGTGTCCCCTTGTGGAATCAAGGCTAACTGTTGTTAGCCTTGATTCCCATTAGCCTGAAACCCATTAGCCTGTTAACCCAAGGCTAATGGGTTTCAGTGACTGTCATAGACTCCCCCTTGGGGGTGGGGGGTGTATTTTTCTTGGTTAGAGGCTGAGGAGCAAGAGTGGGTAGGGTAGATTTCCCTCCTCTCCTACCCCTCCCCCCAAAAAATCAAGAACAAAAATTAGGGGAAATTTGTTTGTTCTTATTTTAATATTTTATTCTGTTTCTATACTACTTTTTTCTACTACTGTAAGCTGCCCTGAGCCCCTTTTCGGGAAGAGTAGCATAAAAATCTAATAAATAAATAAAGTACACTATGCTGTGTTTCCTGGGGCTAGGGTTTGTTCCACGGTACAGCTGTTCTCCTAGCTGTATTTAAATCCATGGGAATCTTGGTTGCTATTAATTTCACTGGGATAATAATTACAGTGTAATGAGTGTGTTCAGATATGCCTAGACACACTGGAAATTAATCTTGCATCTCTTTCTTTTTTAGTTGTATAACTGAGTTGTGGATAATGGAGTAGGACGCTTGGGGTTTTTTTAACCAAAAAAAAATTAAGTTAAATGTGGAGAAGTATAACATGTTAGAGAAAACCACTTTTCTAAAAAAGGATAGCTACTTGCATATTGGCTCCAGCATCCTGAATATATAAAGAGAGAGCAACCAATAGACACAAGCAAACTATAGCTTTTGGGATCCCTTCTTTGTTTTATGACAAGCACATTAAAAATGTTTGCGTTGGCAGACAGGATCACTGGGGCACTTTGACATTACAAACTTCCTCTCTTTGTTTAATTTGAAATATTTTCCTGATTCTTGTTTTCCTTTTCTCTCCAGTATTAGCAAGTGATTTTTTTCCCCAGACACTGCTGCACACTGAGTTTCCTTTATTTTTTTCCCATTTCCTAGCCAGACAATAATTAATGAGACTCATGCTTGGGGATGGAAGCACATCTTAGAAACTGGTTTGGGCTGACTCATATATACATACTAGTCTATTTACAGCACTAGCATAACTAAGACCTGAGCCCCAGGTGCCCAGTAAATTGGGTGCTAGAATGGAGGCAGGGAGGCTCAACAAGTGGGAACAAGAGTCCCCTCATCAGTCTCTGCCTCCCTCCCCAAGGGGAATGCTGCTGCTATCACTGTGAGAGGAGGCATCACTGCTAAGGATCAGGTTAACCCTTTCCTGGCCCTGCAGCCACTGCCAAATTAATTGCTTTTTATCATCACTTGCCATACAAATCTGCCTCCCTGCCTCTGTTCTGGTGCACCTGTTGCCCAGGGTGCAAACTCAACCACTTATGCTTCTGCTCCCCAGTTTCTTAGGGTGTGTGTAGACAAAATGATATTTCCCATTTATGTAGACACAACTACGTTTGTGTTTGCACAACCCGGGATTTCCCCCCATTCTAAAGTCCACTTAGTGCCTTAAACTAACACTACTTGGAGATGTGTTAATTTGTGGTGCTCTCTAATTATGCTGCTCCAACTGGATTTGTGTGTGCAAACAGCCCGAGACTCCAAAGACTTCTAATTAATCCACTTCACCATGACAGGGCACTGTGTTCTGGCCTTTAGCCAGTAGGTGCCGCCATGTGTTCTTTTTTACCCTCCTTCACTTCTCTGGCCTCCCTCGCAGCATGCAGTTCAGGTTGGGATGGGTCTGCTCAGACCAATTATTATTTTAAAATGGGGGAGGCCAATAATCCCTTAATTTTCTACCCCCTCTTAATTCTTCACCTCCCCCACCCTGCCATCTATAGTGTATGCAGCCATGGGAATTAACTAGTTAATTAACTAGTTAAAAAGTTAAAGAAATGGCTAACTTTTAATTGTAACTAGTTACATTTTCAGCTGTCAACATTTAACTTTAAATAGTTTAAAAAAAGGTTAACTTTAACTTTTTTTAAAGTATGTTTAAAATTTTAAAAAATTGAAATCCAGCTTTCCCAGAGTTTTTCCTGACACAGCCACTCTCTAAGACTTACATGGAATGATATTTAGTAAGTCTTTAATGCATTATAATCTATTTCATATGCATGGTCACCAAGTGGGGTAGGGGGCTGGGGTTAACTCCTGCTGCCACAGATCCAAAACAGCTGCTTCTTTTTTCTGAGTTTTTTCTTTGCAGGATGTACTGTTATGGGAGGTGTGATGCAAAAATGATTTTCTTTTCAACACTTTCTTTGCAATGCAATGTTTTCTTTACAAAATCCTACATGCAGCACCTTTCAGAGCCAGCTTTGTGGACCCCACTCCCCCCCTGGAAAGAGCTCATTAGATTTTGTTCAGGATTGCTTTGTCCTCCCTTGTCATATCTCAGCTCTTCTCAAAGGACAGGGAAAAGGTGAGAGGGAAACAAGGAGTAGCATTCCCAAGGCAGCCCAGGGTAATCTCTTCAGCTACCTGTAGGCCTCTGCAGAATCAAGTGTATTCAAAGAAAGCATCATTGTGGGAGAACTTCTTTTCATCCAAATTCAAGAAATTTGTAATACCTAGTATAGGAGAAGCAGGTTTTGGCATGTTCTTATTAGATGGTTCTCAGCTAAGCAGGGAGCTGCTAGTTAGCCAAGGCTATGATTTCAAAAAGTACTCTGCTCCCTATAGAGAGGACAGAAGTGTTATGCAGCAGATGGATATCCCCAAACATATTATTGAGGTGCCTAGAGTGAAGGTCAACCAGTCTGAAATATAGGCCATGACCAACTTTGTGTCCAGCCTGCAAAGCTACTGCACTCCTGCCCCTGGCCAGCTGCAAACTGCTCCCAGGTCCATGACCTGAAATCAAGCAGGAACAAGTACAAATCAGATACTTTTGTTCCTCATCTTTATTTTTTTCACAATAAATTGAATTGCAGTCAATTTGATTGAGAAATCACAATAAAGCTAAAACAGTATAGATATTTTTGTTTTACTCAACAATGCTGTTGGTAGTCAGCTGGAGAATACATTTTTTTACAGTACAGCCATTGCCAGCAAACACAATACAACAGGATAAAACACCAATTCACAATATGCTCCCAAGGTCTCTTGAGTAATTCCTTGATATGACATGGATGGATGGAGGGCTGCATGGTGGGAGTATGAGAGGGAGGGAGGCAGGCAGGCAGCCAGCCAGCCAGCCTGGTTACTGGCCCTTCCTGGTTACTGGCCATGTCCCAGCAGTGTTTTATTTTTGGTCTATATGTCATCCATATCTGCTGGGGGCTGGGTGAGTGGGTGGGGTGCTTTTCAGAGAGATGATGACCATGTGACTTTTATGGAGTCATGGCATTACTGAAAGTTGCAGGGTGGACTATTATCTGATGGAGGGAGGTCGAATGCTTGGCCGGTGTTAGTGTGCAGCCAGCATTTCTTGCAAGAAAGAAGACTAAACAAACCCATCCACAAAGCTTAGTGAGGGAGGGGCACCCTAAGGTTGGGGCACCCAGGCACAGTCTCCTAAGGGACCCCTCAGGTGGAGATGTATGGCCCAACTCAGCTGACTGGCTGAGTCAGGCCATGCTAATCTCCATTACATTGTAATTTTAGAATCTTTGCTGGCCACAGAGCTTAGGGAGGGAGGAAGGGTCCCCCAGGTAGGTGGGTGGGTTGTTGTGGGAGAGGGAGGGAGAGAGGCTTCCTTTATGGCCAGCAACAATTTGAAAGTTACTAGGGTGCAACAGAGAGGTGTGAGGCAGAGGTGGGCAAATGGGGCAAAGAGCCTGCAGGCCTGGGCCTGCTACCCAGACCCCAGAGGTCTTGGCCAGCAACCAAGAAGAAAGCCTCCGCAATTCAGAAAAGAAACTCAAGCCTCAGTTTCTCCCACTGCAGTGGTTATAGCTCCTGAGCACAGCTTGCTTTGCGGCCAGGAATGACTCCAAAGTTACAAGGGTGCAATGGAGAGATGTAAGGCAGAGGTGGGCAAGTAGGGTG